AAGACACTCGATGCTGCCGTTTATTCTAGCCAAAAAACCCAAAGTGCCACATGGCATCACTTATTTTCCTCCTCTGCTAGTGTATGCTATGTTCACTGTTTTTAACATTATCCGCGTGAGCTGTTAGCGTAAATGGATAAGATGAAGCTAGCCATAGTGTTCTGTATCATTTCGAAGATACTGTTGCGCACATTTTGCATGCGTCGAATTACCTCGTTTACTGTTTTCAGGATTGGGCCACCTCGACTCCTAGAAAGGAGACGCCTGTGGCACCTGATCCTCCGCCAAGTCAGCCTGGTCGTGTCCTTTCATCACCTTGGGATGAACAAACATGCAGCCAGGAAGCCGTTGCTGCGTCTTTGTCACCTTCCAGCCCAAATAACGAAGTAAGATTGTCTATAGTCAATTGTATCTGTTCAGGCTTTTTTTTTTTTAACAGTGAAACTCTTTCAGCTAGCTGCAGTTTGTGCGACCAATCAGGAAACTATCGTCACCTTAGTTTATCAGAAACCTTGAATTACCAGAACTTGAGGTATTGAGTCCACTGTACATATTAGACACCTGTGATAACCCTTCAAGGCTTCAACATGCTGGAATAATAATAATAATAATAATAATGCAAGGGGGTTTATTAGCGATGCCAGGTAATAGGCAGACAGCCGGTACAGAAACAAATGCTCGGGCAGTCCAGTGTCTACAGCTCGTGCTCCCGCTCGCGCTTCGCACTCAGCGATGGTCCCACTAGTCATTGCCTTGCGAATTCCCCACTACAATAATAATAATAATAATATGTGATGTAATGCCTTAAGATTTAGTCGTGTACTAGTTATCTCCTCAAGAGAGCGTGTCACCCACTCAGGTCGGCACTGTTTTGCCAGGTAGGAGTAGGTGGCACATGAATGGTAATTCTTGAGGAAGTCTTATAGGGACCTATGTGTAGCTTCCGTCGCACAGGAGAGCCCGAGTCGCCAGAGAGCACCTTGGCGCTGACAGCCAACAGCCCTTGCGCACAGTAGCAGCTCAGTATATTCTGCCGCAGTGCTTCAATATCACTGCGCCACAAGAGCAACTGTTCAGGGGTTATGACTTCACGATGACATTGGGAATCGTCCATTGACCCAAGTCCAGGGTGGTGCGTGTGCACTTGTGTCGTTCACATGCACCTGAAAGGGAATCACAGCAGGGTTACCTGTTGTTAGTGTCATGTTCTGCACTTGGTAATCATGAGTGTTCTCTATCCAGTCAAGATGCAGAGGGGGGGGGGGGTTGCTGCCTTTGCAGGTGGCATCAGGTCACAGGAGTGCTAGCTTCCAAGTCCTTTTCTTGCACTCACAAACATTTGTGTGACCTGATGCCACCTTGGAACCTCCCTATCCTCATTGCAGCTTTACTCAGTTAGATTGAGTGTCTGATTGGTGTTTTCATGAGGCAGGTGCAACCACATTCTACTGAGAGTCTGAATAGTACTTTCATGGACTTGGCCCTGGATAGGGCTCCTGAGCCCAGTTTACAGTGTAAATGGTATTTGTAGCTTTACTTTTTGTTCATTAGGAAAGCCATGACTGTGCGTCCAAGTGTTTTCATAAGTGTTTCTACGAAGAAGCTGTTTTTGGCGGAGGCTTTCAGGTCCAAGGGCCATTATAAATTGTAGTGCGATTATCACGGAGAGTGGGCAAATCTCACTACGGATATGTTCTCATTTCCTCACCACTCCCTCTACTCACTACTACCACAACTGACGGCCGCTACTCTTCCAACCAGGCCCACTACTCACTACTTCCAAAACTCACTACTATACCCACTACTGCTTCTGCCACACCTCCTACTTTAGTCGCCCACTTCATTCAACCACACTGCAAGCACGTGCCCTGCTTATTGTTCAAGAGTTCATCATGTGAGGCAGTTAGGCCAGTTGAATAATTCAGAGGCACCACAGCCCTTTAAAAAAAAAGCATGTTTGTTTAGCATGTATGGGGCTATGTAGCTTTATGTGGCTAACGAAGCACCTGACGACCCTTTCTGATCCTGCGCAGCTCTTCTGGCATTATACCGGCTCCGGGCACATCATCTGCTTCGCGGAGGGCACATTGGACAATTAAAGCAGCTGTTGTTCATTGGAACTCGGAGCAGAGATGTAGCATGGCTCGTATCACCAGCTCAAGCACAACTGGGTTGTAGTGCGTGTGTCCGTGCAGTACATGTGCGTCACATGGGGGGGTTCCCGGAGTGCAGTTCTAGACAGACAGTGGACGAAGGACTGTGCCTGACCTGCAACATTGCCATTGCACCTGCTGAAATGAAAGAGGCTCGAAAGGCTGATGGCAAGGCCTCTTTGTGTCACACAGCATCCTGTCTATTATTTTGAGACGTCGAAAGTCATAACATGGTACTGACCAATTTTTGTGAAAACTTTTCACCTATTGTGTTCACCCTAATGAAAGAATTTCATTCATGGCTTCACATACTGACTTGGGGCATGGAGCACAGCAATCAGGCTATGGAAACTTCCTGTGTCTTGAACTATGTGTCTTGGCTGCATTGCCCTTGCCTGAATCTTCAGGTTCAGATGCGTAGTCTCGGACTTGAAGAAACTTACTGGGCCCGCAGGGTGTGTTCGTAACTTGTGTGTCGATGGGGACGTCGAGAACAACCCTGGGCCTCTGAGCAGCCCGAGAACATTTCAAGAAATGTCTGGTCTTCCATTCCCTGACTGGGTTCGAGATAAAAAAGGGCAGGGCACAGACATGCTTTCCGGTGCCAGGGACGATGTTAGTGCAAAGATTTTGCACCCTCACGCACGCCCGAATGTAAATACTGCCGTCATTATGAATGAATAGTGGGACCATGGCCTATGTGGGGAAATGAAACGTTTTGGTCAAGGCAGTTGGACAACAGTTTTATACCCCACCAGTGTCCGCAGCTCGCAACGACTACTCTCTGCCATCGACATCAAGCCCGAGGACACCCGTGGTAAACACGCTGACTCTGTCCCTTGCCTAAAACTCTTGTCTCCAGCCTATACTACTTCTCCGAAAGCACAAGATGGTCTATTCCCACTTGTTCAGGTCACCCCAACAAACGCACGGCCCAAGAGGAGCCCTTCCTCTTTTGCCAGAGGTCCTGCACAGCAATATGCCCTAGCACAAGCCCAACCAACTCTGGAAGGTGCAGGGGGAGTAGACCATCAAAACCAGCCGTCACTTTCACCCAACCACGAGGTAGTTGTGGCTGCAGTTGGGTGCTCTGGTGAAGTGCTCAGTTCATCCAAAGCAATGGGGCTAGGTGTGGCTTTTCCTTTGTTTGATGTAGGTCACTATTCATTGCTTCACAGGCCGGGCACCATAGCCATTGTCATCGGCAAGGGAGTGCCTGAACGTAGCCCTCAGAGTGGTCTGACCTATGCCTGTCGCATTCCCATCATGGTAACTCAGAAAGCTATATGAGACACAGCAGTGGTACGTTTTGGTGGCGAGATCGTACCAGAATGTGATGCAGCTGCACTTCGAGCCTTGCATACCAAAACAAGTCCCACACAGATGCTGGGTAATGATTCCAGAGTGTCACTTGTTGGTGAGTGGTTTCCACAGGAGGGTAACGACGCACATGCAGTCTTGTGCATCCGGCAGTGGGGCCCCCCGTGCTTTGTGTACAGTGCTTGTTTTACTGTCCACGAAGGCACTGCTCTTACTTTTGATGTGGAGGCCAAGGAACAATGGCATTACTACATGGAGAGGACGGTAAGCGCCCTTGACAAGCTGTCTTTGACAAGCTGTCTTTCAACCCTCCTCCCTCTCCGACAACATGCGAGGCAAGTGCCTTCAAGCTAGGACTCATGCTGGCATGAGCCGAATATGGCATATCACGTGGAGCGTGTTGCTACAACATCCTCACTGGCCAATCGCAAGTTCACGAGCCTGATGTGTGCATCAAAAAAGATACACCTATTACGCGCCTGTTCAACTGCTCTGGTGTGCCTGACGAGGACTGTGGGGGCCTGATTCGGCCATCCTTCCCATTCTTCCGTGGATGGCAGCGTGGGCAGATAAGATTCTTTGCCAGTGTGCAGTCTGTTCTGAAGGGTGAGTCCTACCTCGTCATGCCGCCATGCTTTGAAAGGGCAAACAGCTTTGCTGAGGCTGCAGTCTACCTGATGAGCCTGCTTTCCTTGCCCTGGGACAACATGAGCATCGTGCTGGAAACTGGGGTGGATGATGATCCCACTCCACGCAAGCAGATGTATACAAGGTACGGTGCCACTACCATTGTGCCAGGAGAATTGAGTATAAATGTTGTCCTCGAACAGGCGAGCTACCATACTCGTCCGAACCTTCTATTCGACTGCATCCAACTATGGGCCCTACTGCTGTGGAATTCTGGCCTCCATTTTTCCGCATTCCTGTCAACTTCAAGCCAGGTCAGAATCACTTTGTGTCAGCGTCTGCCTTTGCTGCATCCTGGGCACTAGGATATAATGTGTAGGATATAATATGGGCTCGGTGGCTGTGCCACGAAACAGTCGACTAAGCCACTTCTTTTCAACATGCAGGTGTTTGCTTTTGCTTTCATCTGTGCTGCCCTGCTCGCTACCATTTCAACCGTCCCGCACTTACCTTCATCTTGCGTGGATCAGCGCACTGGCTATACACCAATTGTTCTTCGTCAAGCGATGCCAGCCACACCCCAGCTTTCATAGGCAACACCTGGCGTGAGCCTGAGCACCACTGCGTCATGGGAGCTGCCTACAACACTAACGTCAACCATCAGATCAGCTTTGAAAGAGCAACATCCTCGGGCACCCACCTGTGGGCTCGGTGGCTGTGCCACAAAAAAGTCGACTAAGCCACTTCTTTTCAACATGCAGGTGTTTGCTTTTGCTTTCATCTGTGCTGCCCTGCTCGCTACCATTTCAACCGTCCCGCACTTACCTTCATCTTGCGTGGATCAACGCACTGGCTACGCACCGGTTGTTTTTCGTCAAGTGATGCCAGCCACACCCCAGCTTTCATAGGCAACACCTGGCGTGAGCCTGAGCACCACTGCGTCATGGGAGCTGCCTACAACACTAACGTCAACCATCAGAACAGCTTGAAAGAGCAACACCTGTGGGCTCGGTGGCTGTGCCACAAAAAAGTCGACTAAGCCACTTCTTTTCAACATGCAGGTTAGTCATTCATACAGCCTTTTTGCAAAAAAATCAAGTGACTACCTTTTGGTACTGCTCCCGAGCCCTCAGTGTTTGCTTTCAATTGTTGTAGAGTGTGTTCGTGTCTTGCGCCGCTTGTTACTGCTCTCGGGTGACGTTGAAAATAACCCTGGCCCCGTTGAAAGAAACCCTGGTCTCGATCTTAACACTAACCGAATTTCAGAAGTTATCTGCTGGACAATCTGAATTAATGACCGAGATAAAAGGTCTGAAAGGCGAGCTGGTCGTCGAAACCAGCAGCACAATATCTGAGCTTACCAAAAGGATGAACTCCGTCGAGAACCACTGCCAAAACATAGAAACCCTGCAGCGACAGGTCGAATCAGTTCAAGCAAACGCTTCCGAGACGATGCGAGCTATCTCTGATATGTAATCACGAATCAACGACGCTGAAAACCGAGCCCGTAGAAATAACTTAATCTTCTTCGGGATCTCCGACCCTGGTCCATCTGAATCTGCTGCTCTTGTAGAATAAAAAGTCATTCGGTTCTGCGCAGATCACTCGGACATAACCTTGAACCCGGAGCATATCGAGTGCGCGCATTGTCTCGGCCGCCACTGCAATGGTCGCAACCGCCCCATAATAATGAAATTTTTGTTGTTAAAGATAAAAGAAAAAGTCTTGTCCAATGGCCGCAAACTAAAATGCACAAGCTATAGAATCGGCAAAGATTTTTTCGCCCTGTGCAAAACACACGTAAACATCTTAATGCATTTGCCAAGAGCAAATCGGCCCCTTTTTCATTGCGCTACAAAACATTGTTCATAGGTTCAACAAAGTGCATCTACGATGAAAGTACAAAATGCGTAAAAGAATCCAAATAGCAATCCTTACGGCTTGGTCAAACAACCCGACGTCCGACAACGTCGCCTAGCCCTACCACTATTTTCTCAGCAATCTATACTAACATACGAAGTTTCTTACCGAAACGTGACATCATATCTAGCGTTGTTCTTTCTTTCGGGTGTAGCTTATTAATACTCACTGAAACATGGCTAACAGATGGTATTTCCGATGCGGAGGTCCTTGGTGATCTACCCGGCTTCAATGTCTTCCTGCAACGACCGTCAGCATTGCCGCGGTAACGGAGTACTCATCGCTGTTAAATATACGTTGCCCTGTTCGGTTGTTGCTAACCCAAGGGACCTTGAAACGTTATGGCTGCTCTTTCGTTCAACTCCGCAAGTTATCTTACTTGGTGTGCTACCGTCCCCCTCAAGCAAACAGTGAATTTACTGTTAAACTGAACTGTGTGCTAGACACACTAGCAAAAAGATACGAAAACACGCACGTTTTGCTATTCAGAGACTTTAATTTGCCTCATATTAAATGGAATGACAATCCTCCGTCGTCACTATGCCAAGTCGAAAACCGTTTTCTTGATGTTTGCTTCAATTATAACTTTACACAGCTTGCGTCGGAAAACACGCGCGTCACACAGGACTCAGCCATCATTCTAGATCTCATTTTAACTAACAATCCTTTCAGTTTATCTTCAATGACTCAGCTGAAAGAAATTCGTAACCATAAAGTGATTCATGCCACTTTTGCTTTTGCTTTTCCGAAACGAGAATTATGGGATAAAACAATACGCTTCTATGACAAAGGTAACTAGGATGCGATCAACAACGAACTTATCTCCTTCTACCCTATCTACTGTTCCGAATTCCACAACCACACACTTCAAGATAATTGGTCGATATTTCATAGCAAACTTACTGAACTCGCTTCTAAACATATTCCTGTTATAACTGTCCTGGGCCAATCATCATAAACCATGCTTCACAAAAAAGTTAAAAACCCTTAAAAACAAGAAGAAAAGGCTATTTTGCTCCGCAAAGCAACACGATTCCCCTGTGACGTGAAGCAAATATTATGAGGCAGAGAAAGACTACCTCTTAGCTGTTAGTCGCGAAAAATGTTCCTTCTTTCATGATACCTTACCCAGTGTATTGGATAACAACCCCTCAAAATTCTGGCAAATCTTGCAACCCAAGGTACCTGAAACTGTCATCCTCACAGATCATAATGACATACTGATCACTGACCAAGAGTGTGTCAATGCGTTTAACGTCGCGCCTTCATATGTCTTTACTACTGAACCTGCCACTCCTGGTCCTTCACCGCCAGCACGTTCAGACTCTGTCATGCCACCCATCGAATTCATCGAAAATGGCATAATGCTAATAATCAAAAAACAAGTTATCATCAGCACCCGGGGTAGACGTTCTCAATTCTAAACTGTTAAAAAATACAAAACATGTGTGTGCATCTTACTTGAAACTAATATCCGCCGAGTCTTTATCATCCTCCAGTATTCTCATCGATTGGAAGAGCAGGCAGGTCATTCCAATTTACAAATCAGGAAATAAAAATTCACCTATTAACTACTGTCCAATCTCTCTTGCAAGTGTACCCTGCAATGGAACATATAATCAACACCCGAATCATGCACTTTCTAGACACCACTAACTTCTTTCACCCTGCCCAACACGGCTTTCGCAAAGGCTTATCATGTGAGATGCAACTTGCCATCTTCACCCATGACTTGCACATTAACCTCGACAGAAACACCCAGGTTGACACTATTTTTCTCAATTATGCCAAACCATTTGACAAGTTACCTCATAAACGGCTGTTTCTAAAACTATGCAGTTTGAACTTTCCCCCGACCATTCTAAACTGGATTGCTGAATTTCTCTCTAACCGTCATCAGTCAGTGCATGTCAATAATCATACATCCGCACCTCTCCTCGTTACGTCTGGCATCCCGCAACGAAGTGTCCTGGGTCCCCTACTCTTCCTTATTTACATTAACGATCTTCCCTTCCATGTCTCTTCTCATATTCGTCTATTTGCCGAGGACTGTGCTATATATCGTGCAATTAATAACGACTCTGACCACAGTGCCCTGCAAGACGACCTTAACAAAGTACAACGCTGGTGTAACGACTAACTATAATGACCCTTAACCCCAATAAATGTAAAGTAATTTGTTTCACCCGCCGCCATCAGCCCTTGTATATGCCCTATAACATCAGCAATACTCCCTTGGAAAAAGTAGACTCATCTAAGTACCTTGGTGTCATTCTTTCATATGATTTAGATTGGTCTGTTCATGTGTCGCGCATTACTACCTCAGCTAACCTAACCTTGGGGTACTTAAAACACCATTTACGTCATGCACCCCCTCACGTCAAACTACTAGCATTTAAAACACTTGTACGTCTGAAACTTGAGTACGCATCCCCGATATGGTCCCCACATCAAGCATATCTCATCAATGCACTCGAAGCAGTCCAAAATCGCGTGGCAATATTCATTCATTCATCATACTGCATATCACACAAGCGTATCGCTACTGAAGGCACGATCCGGCTTAGATTCATTGTCATCCCGGCACCGCATTGATTCACTAATCCTTTTTCACAAGTTCTATTACAGCTCGTTTCAACAGACACCGTACATCTTGGCCCCACCCTTACGCCTCTCCCTTCATACTAGGCATCACTTACAAGTAAGCCGTCCACGCAGCCGCACTACTATCTTCTTGGCCTCCTTTTTCTGCCGTTCATTGACTGAGTGGAACGGCCTGCCCCGTCCTATCGCTGATATCACCTGCCCATCATCATTTGCTGAGAAGCTTAAGCTCTAATTTACTCTTATGTTTATATGTGGCTACTAACTATATACATATCTGGTTGATGTGCATAATTTACAAATGTATGTATATTGTTTACGTATAATTTTTTTATTTAAATTGTGTATTATCATTATGTATATATGTGACGCTATGAGGAATGGCAGACGTGGCCTGGCTCATACCCCATGTTTATTCAGTTCTGCACTTCTTCCTCCTCAGCTTCTACCAATCATCAGTTCATACGTCACACGATTCCCCCTCCCCCTGAAAGAATGCACGAGCTACAATCTAGAAAGCATGAAAAAATGGAGTCTTATAAAAAAAAATAATGCCAGAAAATGCAGTAGTTCCATGCCACACGGCGGTTCCATGCACTTGCACAAAATGTTCACAGGAAAGGCAGTCCAGTGATATCTAGGAGACCTCAGGTGGGCGAGGTTGGCTGTTGCGTTCTGGTGAGCATAACCATGCCTTCAGCGTTAAAAATGATGATGGTACAACCTGGTTAGTATTGAGGAAGGAACAAGGCTGGGATTCCTTGTAGCGTTGGAAGGTCGGATGTCTCATGCGTTGGATTCTGAGACGTGGCTGCGACAGACGCTTTGTTTCTAAAATGCGTGCTTGTTGACGGATTGTGACGGCGTGATGCCTGCGGGCTGGCGGTATGCAAGAAGTGCGTCCGCATGTTTCTTGGCGTTTTCCGTGGTGTTGCGGTCTGTGTAACTCCAGGCGCAGAGAGCGTCTCTGGTGACTTTCCTCTGTGCGAAAAAATTTGACGTCTTGGAATGCTTTTTGGGTTAGAGATCTTATTTTCCGCTGTTCTTCAATTGGTGAGTGTGCTTCCGTTGAATTTCGCGTTCGTCGATGCCTTAGTTGCAGTCTATTTTGTTGTCGCATGAGGTTGCGCGCTTGGCTATGCTTGCTTTGCTGATGCTGCTCAGGAGATGGCTGTAGTGGCAAGCCTTCCGGAATGGGACATTCATTTACTTTGAGGTTTGACGCGTCCTGTAGAGAGCTGATGCATGGTGAACAGGTTTCTTGATTATCTGGCATGGTTGGTGGTGCGCCATCATTGCTAGCCTGCTCTTCAGAGGCTTCTGTGAAGTGGTTGATTACGGACGCTTCTGAAAAACAACTGCGTACGAGGTTTGATGTATGATTTGCTTCTGAGTTGGTTCGAATCTTGGATTGGTGACCACTGCATGAGAATACCACATGTGACGTCGCATCACCAGGTTTAAAATGCAAATTTTGGCATGTCTGCGGTGCCGTGGAAATGAACTCTTGCGACAAAAAACATTCAGAGTTGACAGA